TATATATATATATATTAATAACTACTATACTAAGGGAAAAGATTAACACATATTAGCAAAAGCATCTTGGCAAAATTGTGCTTCCGGTACTGCTGTTTAAGAGTTCCTTATCGTCTCTAGCTTCAGACAGCCTTTGTCACCACGCTCTGTCTGACGTAATCACGTTATTGCTGGAGATTTCCAGAAAATACCACCAGAGGCCGTGATTCATCATTTTTTTAAATTTTCAGTTTAAGAACAAATCACTACCATAGAGATCTCAAATATTAGTTTTAATGCGACATATGGTATTGTGAGAGGATGTTTCCTTAAGAAGATGAATTTAATATAAAATAGTATAGGCCTAACTAAAAATAAACAGGAATCGATCATATACAAAAAAATAATGTTTAAGTGTAAGTACAACTACAAATGTATCACAAATATCAAATTGATCATGTAATGTTCCTAGAATTTCATTAGAATATCATATTTTTATATATATATATATATATATATCCTAATCTGTTCACAAAAATAAGTAATTACAATAAATAATAAATGATCAATCGGGGGGCTAATCTTGCAAATGTAGATTACTGTCTCCAGTCCCCAGTGCTGGAAAGGTAAATGTCACAATGACAGTGTGGAAAATGACTCTGGAACATTGTGGCTGTATCTCGTATGACTAATGAGGGCTGTGTTTTCTCTTTTTGACTCTTGCCAGATAATACATCACACCAGAGGAGGACTGGGATCACCTGTCAGCATTTTGACAGCATGGAGAAGAGGTGTTAGAAAAAGTGACTCTGACTGCTGCTGATCTGTTTGTTCTAATGCTTCCTGTAACAAAAGTGAAGGTACAGGCAAATTACCATCAGGAAAGTCAATAAGGACAAGTGTAAAAGAGACTTTACCTATAACAGTATTTGGTCTTGAGAACAGCTTTGATCCTTAAGGAAAACAATGAGTTCTGAGTTCTTTAATGAAACATCTTTGGAATAAGACAATATCCTGTGCAATTTATTGCGCTTTGCCTGTAGAGTTTCACCACAAGGTGGCAGTAATGTTGTATCTTTATCTATTTGAGTGAACCTAGAAATGTAATACATCTAATACTTATATTTTTCATTAGAAATGTGCCAGTCAATATATACATAATATGGTTTCAATGTTACTATCAATTTATGCTATAGAAAGGCAGGCGGTAAAATTGTCAGTATTAGAGTTTGTGTTCTTTTAAATGAATTGCCTCTGTAGCCATGAGCAGAGATCATTCATTTAAATAAGGGCATTATGTTTTATGATCTGTTATGCAAGATTTGGCATTTTGTTCTATGTCTGCATCTATAACCCTGAGGCTGATGATACACAGGGCAACTTTTTGAGCAATGTTGCTGGGCAATGTTGCTTGGACACTTTTCCATTGAGAATGAGCAACAAATTTCTATCTGGATACTTCAGAGTTTTCGTTGACCTGTGTCTCACCTGGTTGCCCGTTGACGGCAGCATTGCCCAGCAACATTGCTCAAAAAGTTGCCCTGTGTGTCATCAGCTTGAGAGCATCAATACAAAGTCTTACCACATTTGCTTGGTATCATGCACTAAAAGGCTCGTTTGCCTTTTGATAACCTATCCCATGAACGCTTTACAGTCCGTCCGGATGAATTTTTATTTATTTATTTATTTCAAAGATGATTTTGCTTTTAGTGTTAATCGAATAGCCTAATTAATCTAATCTAATCCAATAGATTGATTATTCCAATCTAATAGTTAGTGATTAATGTAATTATATTTTATATTACACTATATAATTAGTGTAATATAATATAATATAATAATTAGTGTAATGTTAACCTTACACTTAAAAATAAAGGCTCTTTATTGACATGGTTCCACCTTTAATGTTCATGGAACCTTTGGACAAAAGGTTTTTTATAATGGAAAAAGGTTCTTTAGATCATTAAAATGTTAACACTAAGAAAATAAAATGTTCTAGAGGTTTCTTGGGGAAACAAAACTATCTCTTCAATGGCCAAACCAGGGCTCATGGGCCAGAGTTGGCTCATAATGACATGTCATATTAATTAGTTTAAATTTTGTAAGTTTTATATTTTTGTATTGAAATAAGTAATTTTTTTTTTTTTTGATTTTTCAGTTTTTTTGTATTTTTGTGTTTTCTACATTTTAATATACAGTAATATAGTTGGATATAATGCAACATTTACTGTTGGCTTATGCCCCTCAATCAAGTTGGTCTTTCATATTACACATTTCAGGCACCTCTGTTCTATGGCATCAGTAAAAATATCCTCTTATTTCCAAAAGTGTTGTCTCTTATGGAAGACGGGCAATAACCTAGAATTACACACTGACACACCATGCTATTTTTATCCATGTTCACCCAAAAACTACATTCTCTCATCATTTACTCACCATCATGATCCGAACCCATTTGACCTTTATTCTTCTGGTGAACACGAAAGAAGATGATTTGAAGAATGTCTCACTGTTGTTTTGTTTTCATATCATTAAAGTCAATGGGGTCCAATATTCTTCAAAACATGAGGGTGACTAAATAATAACAGAACTTTAAGGTGATATATCCCTTTAAACGCATCTATACATAAAATGAACGTGAATAATGAATGTAGTCGTGAAGATTAACAGCTAATGTTCAGGCTGTGAAAACGCATGGATTCTGAAACCCTCAATAATCTCTAACAGGTTAATTAGTGTATTGATCACTCAAGCAGTGATCCAATTTAAAGATCTGAACTTCCTATATTTGCAGAGTAGGTTTACACAACACGCGCAAACGCATTTAAATAATTCAAAACAAAGACCAACCAGTCGTCGCCTCTTATTATGCAACAGTGCTCAGTCATGCTCCTGGAGGCCCGTGTAAAAGATCACTTTTGAGCTCATCTCAGATTCTTCCCTGGTACAAGAGCACCTGGCTCATAAGCTGCTAATTTTGCTGCCAGATGGCACCTCTCAGAGAACACCTGCTTCATCATCGGGATTCCTTTACGTTGCCGAAACTCTGTCTGCTTGAATAGTAAAATGATTGTAATAATTTCATATCCGCTTATTATCCCGTCTTTGCGAGAGCAAACGTTTATGCCTACAAATGTGCGATGGCTCTCTGCCAAAATGTCTCCCTAGGTCACCCTCCGTTTCTCTGTGCGGTGACAGTGTCTGTCAAATAGCATCATAAACGCTTTTGTTTAGGGGCCGCTCATCATGCTTATTATCCCGTCTTTGCGAGAGCAAACGTTTATGCCTACAAATGTGCGATGGCTCTCTGCCAAAATGCCACCCTCGATTTCTCTGTGCGGTGACAGTGTCTGTCAAATAGCATCATAAACGCTTTTGTTTAGGGGCCGCTCATCACCATTTCTCACTCACCCTGTCAGCGGTGTCACAAATTTCCCAGGTGTCCAGTACTTGCAAAGCATTTCACTTTTTTTTATAGGTGTGTCTGACATACCGGGCCTCATACGCACATTCACACCTTCTAAACTGCGGGGGTTTCCTGCTGAAATGTGACTACACTTTTAAGCACTCAGCACTGAAAATCCTCATAGGCTCACAGCAGGTGTGAGATTCAGAGGGACACGATGCAAATATTATATATGAAAATTCTTATAGGTGGTCCTTGTTATCATGACTGTGAAGTTGTACTGACAGCAAGCGATTGCAAGTTTTTGATTCTTTCCGCCTACTTGCATTATAATGAATTCACACTGCCATGATAAAGTGACTTGGTTTTAAAATATTCAGGATTTTAAAAAAAACATACCGCTGAAGTCTATTTTTAAACTTTGTTTGCTCTGAAGTGCATTCGGTGACCCAGCGATGACCAACTCCTTGAGTCCAACTATAAACAAATAAGTCTTTCTTTGTTTTGTCCTTACATTCAGCTGAGCGCATCCAGAAATATAAGCTAGGCAGTGACTCTAAATTGGATAGTAATTACTGCCACGACAAATTGGAGGGAAGCAATCCAACGTATTTTCTATTATGAGATAGTATTATTCTTGGTT